CAGAGTCAGAGATACATAGGCATAACCAGTAACACCAGAGAACTCAGATAAATCACCAATATAATTGTCCTTCATAGATTAGGCCTAACTCTATTTCAGCACCTTAACATGTTGGTGGCAGGTGGTTTGAGCTCCAACCACTTCGTGAAATTAACCAAAATAAAAACCATTCTCCAAAATTGATACTTTCTCTTCCGAAATTAGAAAACTAAAAATTTTGCTAAAGAGAATTTTATCTTTTTTTGCATGAGTAAACAGTGCGGATTGAGATGATTGAGATGAAGGTTTATTGATCTTCCTCTATTCAAAAAATAACAATCATATCTATTTTTGGATAGTGATTTATATTTTGGGTCATTTGAGCATAGAATCCTTCAAGATTTGAGTATAGTTATGATAATTCCTTGTGATGTTCTGAGACCAAAATTGAACTTCATAATTTAACCCAATTATTTCATAGAAGTGAAAGACACATACCCTGACAGTGACATAACCAGCTGGTATCAGACCTTTCCTTATCCTTGTGATGTATCTTTGGAGAAGCACTCATCAATTATTGACTGCCTAAAAGGTAAGGAAAGGTTATTGAGATCGAGATATGGAGCTTTGCATGTTAATGTTAAGGATTGAAGTGGAATTAACAATTAAACACCAGCAACTAAGATTTATTACTTGTTTAAAACACTTGCTTCATCAGGCTGGACTTCCACTGCAAATTCTTCAATCACAGCTTTGACTGCATTCTCATCTCCAGAGTTTAAGCTTATCAAATGCTTCTCTAGATCAGATAATTTATGATGAACAAAAACAGTTCAATAGCAAATTTTAGTTTGACATAGTAACTATGAAGAAGAATTATATCAAAGAATCTAATAATAATGGATGTGTATAATGCAGTCTCTTAGCTTTGCAGATCACTTAGAGGGGCAAATCTTGTGAGCTAATACTTCTGAGACTTGGTTTCAGAGGAAGAAAATTATAGGGAAGGAATGAGAAAATCACCTCAAGAGGGACAAAATGGGTTGCCAATCCAATTGCAACCAATTCCTTACCATTCAATCTTGCTCCTGTTAAGGCAAAGAACTCCCCTGCGTTCCCCACACAATACCAATCAATTTCAGTAAAATCCAGGAAAAACTATTTTCCTCTATATTTGCATGCTTACCAAGATGCCCAGGAAGATGGGATACATATGAGAAACCACAATCAGTATGAAAGCCAATACTAGCTTCCGGAGTTGCAAATACCTATCATGAAATACACCACAGAAAATTTTGATGTCATTATGCAGAGATAGATATCAAGCTAGAAAACACTAAAGATAGATATCAAGCCAGAAAACCAATCAATTTTGATGTCATTGTGCATTTTGGATCTATAGTCTGTCTATACTTCACTGGCACCAACAGTGAAGTCTTGGACTAACTTTGCAGCTTTCTTTTCGTACCTATATATTGTTATAAAATATAAAATAATCAAATATATCACTTCTTCATTTATTGTTATAGCAGAACTTTGCGGTATAAATAACCTCAAGCTTCGAAAAATCCAAATCAGATATAAAGTAGAAAGAAGGTAAAGAAGCTTACTATCCATAAAGAAGAAAAATCATAGATAACACACAGCAGATAAACAATGTTGATAATGCGAGAGGCCGAGATAATATCAGCAAATTGATCAGTGCACCTATCCCCTGAATATAGAAAAACTGTAACTTAGACTAGACTATTAAAAAAATCAAATGCACATTTGGGGGAGGGGAAGGGTAAGAACCACAACCTGAAGAACATTGTGTAAGATCAAACTAATATCATTCGCAATAACAAGAGATAATCGTTGACAATCTGCCCCAAGTCTGCTTGTCAAATCACCAACTGCTTCTCTGTCGAAAAAGGATATATCCTACATCAAAGATTACACCAAAATAGAGTACAGAATTGAATAAAATCGGAGGTCAAGCAAGTCAACATTGCTTTAAATAAATTTGTTGACAATTGGCACACCCAATTGTTGCAATTACTAAATGAAACACAAACTTGGAAAAGAAGAACTGAGTAAAGAGTTTCCCTGAGATGCTTCATCTGCATTATGATGTTTCAAGCAGCAGATGGTGTATAAAGAAATTAGATAACAATCCCGGAAATAAAAAAAATAGATAAAACCATGCTTTCAAACAGAGAAACCACAAATGCACAAATCTTCTGGGCACAAACTTTCAAACAGAGAAACCCAAACTTACAACCTATAAATATAAAATTATAAGGGTTTAAGGTTGTAATTGTACAAAAATTAGGAAGGGATGGTATTTTTAGTTAAAATTAGCAAATGGGTGGCATTGGAGGTCATTTCCCTAAATTTTTTACGGCAGCTCCCTTACAAATATTTCAATGAAAATAAAAAGGGCTAAAACATTTTACCTGGGAGGTTTGGGCCCATTCTGAAAATGGGTCACAAGATTTCAATTTTGTCAACCGCCACCCGAAAGTTTTAAAATTTGACCAATTTAGACATTTCTTCAATTTGACCGTTTCATCTTCTGTTAAATTAATGATGTGGCAGGAGCAGTGCCCACTTTTATAATTATTTATAAATTAAATAAAATAAAATAAAAAATTCCCAAGTTCTGCAACTAGGGTTGACAATGGGTCATGTCGTGTCGTGTCAGAATTATGTACGTGTCAAGAATGCTCAACCCAAACTCAACCCATTTAATAAACATGTCGTGTCGGGTTGACCCGCTAATTTTCCTAGTGGGTTTCAAGTCGTGTATCAGGTTACCCGCAAGTGGTAGCATAGTGAGGTAAAAATGTAGAAGAAATTTTTTTATAGAGAAAGTGATGATTATTCGAAGAATTTTTCCATAATCACTGTAATGTGAGAATTGGTTACGATGGGCAAAGAAACATGTGTAATTTACTAAACTAGTTTTGCATGTAATATTTTTGTGTGATAGTTAGCATGTAATTGTTTTAAATATAAATATCAAATGATATGCATGTGAAATTCTACTTCTTTGAAATCCAACTTGTAGAAACATTATAAATATAAAATGTTGTAGCATATAAACACAAAGTTATCAGTAGCATTGTAGATAAGACTCTAGTAAAGGAGGAAGTGGTAGGGGTTTGAATCCCCTTGTTTGCTCTCTGAAGTTGCCATTTCCATTTGTGTTTAGTGGGTTGGCTGGGTATGTCACAGGTTGACACGACCCCTTTGTGTGCTAGTCGTTTTGATGCTGGATATGCTCGGTTGATTATGGCTGGGTATGTAAATATCCCTTTTTTTTTTCCTTTACAAATAATTTTTTTTTTGGGGTGAAAAAAGGGGGCAAAGACCCCCAGAACAGCAACTCACTTACAAATATTTCAATGAAAATAAAAAGGGCTAAAACATTTTACCCCGGAGGTTTGGGGCCATTCTGGAAATGAGTCACAAAGTTTCAATTTTGTCAACCTGCACTCAAACGTTTTAAAATTGGACCAATTTACACATTTCTTCAATTTGACCATTTCATCTTCTGTTAAATTAATGATGTGGCAAGAGCGGTGCCCACTTTTATAATTATTTATAAATTAAAATTTCTTTAGAAAATAAAATAAAATAAAAAATTCCCAAGTTCTGCAACTAGGACTGGCAATGGGTCGTGTATGGTCGTGTCAGGATTATATACGTGTCAAGAATGCTCAACCCAAACTCAACCCATTTAGTAAACATGTCGTGTCGTGTTGACCTATGTGGGGGTTTTTTCGTTCCGACAGCTACTACGGGCCTGGGCTGCCATAAAGAGCAAATGGGTGAAATTACCCCATGTGTCTGAGTTCAAGAATTAAACCCCAAGAATGCTTCGAAAGGGTAGTGAAACCTTAGGAAGCACCCTGGTTATCTTCACCAACAAAAAGAACAGTCGCTTATAGATAAATACTTAGTTTGGCATGAGAGACTTATGACATGGAAGCAAAGTCGTCATGAGTTTAGCATTAAAGAGAGAAAAAGCTGTGATTTCCTATGAGAAATAGGGTTTTAAGGTAAGGGGAGACAGGTATTTTGAGAGGATTCGTTGAAGAGAGAGAGAGATGGGAAGAACAATGGGTGTGTTGAGTAATTTTCCAGCAGCCTGACAAAAACTATGTCAGACTCTGGAATGGCTTGCCATAAGAGAAAATGGGAGGAGATGGAGCAATAGGGCACGAAATTGCAGAGGTTTCAGGGATGAGATATGAAGCTTGCTCTCTGGATGTGAGTTGTTTGATGAGTAGGAGATGACCCTTTTTATAGCCGCTAGAAGCTCCTCCTTTCCAAGAAACCCTAATGGTTTCTCTCCAATTTTGCTAAGTCTCCCCTTTCATTTCTCTTCTCTCCTTTCGATTCACCCCATTTTGTGAAATCTTCCTCTGTCCAAACACAAAAAGACAAGATTTTTGGGAGCTCTAAGGCTTTCTCGCAGCTACTTCAGTGTTGAACTCCTATTTTTTTACTACCTCCTCACCTTCTTTCCTTCCCTCTTCCATAGTAAGAGCTGGTAAGAGAAAGAAATTGGTAAGGGTGTTGGTTCGAAGGGTGCTTCTGCTCTGCGCAAGCTAATACCCATTGGTTCTTTGCGTGTTCTACCTTGATGTTTGTTTTTACCCATGTGCTGGAGCCTCCCAGCAACTTTCATACATGGATATTTTGGCTTTCATCGTGGCTCTTGTTTCCAGCTAAGTGCTGGAGATTATAGATATTTTCTTTGGTTGCTTGGGCTTTCCTAAGGTGATGGGTTAACCCATTTAAGGAAATGGGCTAATTTCCTAAAGTGATAAGCTATTTTATTGAGATGATTGGCTAATTTTTCCTAAAGTATTGGGCTTTTTTCTCTCTTTTATGCTTACCCACATATTTGGGCGTAAGAAATGGGCTTGAGTTTTAAGACTCCCAAGCAACCCAAAACTTCCATTTCTCGGCTCATCAATGGGCCTCATGAAAGCTCGTTACCATCCATACCACAACCTGCTCAGCAAGCTCTAGGCATTTGTGTCGCTTGGGCCCATTTAAGCTTGTAGCGTGGCTAGGTGTGAAATAATGATTTCTTGCTTGGCATGGCAAGTCAATTGGCTTGCTTGAATTTTATCGTCTTTGAAAAGAGACATGATGCTTGACGGAATAATTAGCATGGGCTTGTAGAGCCAGTGCCTTTTATAGGCTCATTTTAATTCTTAGCGTGATGAATTGCATATTTATTTGGCATGGTACATGATCGTGGCTCGTGCAAGCGTGCATGACGAATTTCGAGTGCTCCGAACCCGGTCTTTTCTTAATAAGGTGTCGCACTGGGCCGATAATTTATTTGGGCCCAACCCTGGATTTTTGGGGCCTCAACAACCCACTAATTTTCCTTGCGGGTTTCAAGTCGTGTATCGGGTTACCCGCTAAGTGGTATCATAGTGAGGTAAAAATGTAGAAGAAAAAAAAATTAGAGAAAGTGATGACTATTCGAAGAATTTTTCCATTATCACAATAATGTGAGAATTGGTTATGATGGGCAAAGAAACATGTGTAATTTACTAAAATAGTTTTGCATGTAATATTTTTATGTGATAGTTAGCATGTAATTGTTTTAAATATAAATATCAAATGATATACATGTGAAATTCTACTTCTTTGAAAAACAACTTGTAGAGACATTATAAATATAAAATGTTGTAGCATATAAACACAAAGTTATTAGCAGCATGGTAGATAAGACTCTAGTAGAGGAGGAAGTGGTAGGGGTTTGAATCCCTTTGTGTGCTCTCTGAAGTCGCCATTTCCATTTGTTTTTAGCTGGTTGCTGGGGTATGTCATAGGTTGGCATGCCCATTTAATAAATAAGTTACATAGGTATTTTAACAGGTTGGCGGGTTCACTCATTTATTAAACGGGTCATGACAGCTTTACCCAAAATGACCCGAATTTTTATTGTGTGGGTTGAACCTGCTAATTTCCTGTGCTGGTTTCGAGTTGTATTAAAAATTGCCACCCCTACCTGCAACCTTCCCTCCCATGGCAATCTCGTGTAAATACCATGGAATAAGGTTTCATCCTATTCATGGGGATTCCGTAAAAATTCCATTCCACCCACCCCAGCCACAACTTCATTCTCTGGTCTCCCTCTCAGCTACACTTCCCCACTGCTCACTCACCCATTATTCCATGAAATCCAACCCATATTTTATCACCCCATCCATTCCCCGATCTCCTCCTTCACACTATCATTGAAATGTAGAATATGCACTTACGTTGGGTGCGAAAGGGGAGGCCAAATAAAGACCCAAGAATTAATGTTGTGCAAGTTCAAGAATTAAGCTCATCATGTTAAAGGAAAGAAATTGGTCAATTATTGTAATTAGCACAATCCCAGTAATTAGCTAAGATTGAG